TGGAGCACTGTTTTCCCCTTCCTGTCAGAAAAGGCGCTCAGGGCTCAAAAGGTTCCTGGGAAGCGGTTCCTGCCCCAGTACGAGCGTTAGGAAAGGCGGGGGTGAGTTCACTCTCCTCAAAAATTCGGTCGGGTAAGGGCATGGGAGGCAAGTTGTCGCCCATAGGGTATAAAGAGAGGCAATTGGCGGACACCAGGCGTACAATCAGTTGCGGCCCTTCCTCCAGGACCTGCGCCAACCTACTTAGTCGTAGTGCAGGCCTCTGCTCCTCGATCTCCTCGCCGCCAGACCGGTGGCGCACCACTCGTCCGCTTGGCGAACATTGCCTTGTATGATGGTACAGGGGTACGCGTGTCTTGGTGGCTACAATATGCCACCCGCACGCTCCAGCTCATGGGCGCCCCACCCGACACGTGGGTGGCTCACCTCTCCACGCGCCAGCGTGGCGGTCCTTTCAACGCCTGGGAGGATTTCTACACCCACTCCCTTCGTGAGTGTCAGATCCCGACCTTCATGGATTTTCAAGCGTTCCTCGAGGATCGCTTCGGAGCCCGACATGACGTGACTGACGCCTTTGAGTGTGTCGTCAGTACACGCTGSTCCGGCTCTGGTGGCGCTGCCGGCCTGGACCGCCACATCTAGGTCTTTCAGGACACCCGCCTCATTGGTGATGTGGCGTTCCTCCCGAGGCTGCCCTCATCGTTCGTTTCTTGGCCAGCCTTCCCCTTGAGTACCACTCCGAGTTATGGCGGTACGAGTTCACATCGGCCCCGCAGGCTTACGAGGCCGCTAGGTCCCATCAGCGGATGCGGGCCCGTCTTCAATCCACTTCCTCCTACCAGCCTCAGCGTACTGGTTACGCCCCCTCCTCCTCTCACGACACTTCCCAGCGCCGTTCCCTTTTCTACAGTCGCCCCGCCGTTCCATGCAGCAGGGCCGCCACTTCTCGCGCCGCTTCAGCGCGCTCGAGTATGGTGAGCACGACGTTGTTGCCCCGCTGTCGCCTTAGGGTGACCACAACGACGACCTCGACCTCTGCGAGTCCGTCCACTACCACCTGGAAGACTCTACTCTCCCTATGGCCGAGCGCCTCCAGCTCGCCCTCTCCACCTTCTCCAGGGCACGCCTCATTGGTGATGTGGCGTTCCTCCCGAGGTTGCCCTCATCGATCGTTTCTTGGCCAGCCTTCCCCTTGAGTATCGCTCCGAGTTATGGCGGTACGAGTTCACATCGGCCCCGCAGGCTTACGAGGCCACTAGGTCCCATTAGCGGATGCGGGCCCGTCTTCAATCCACTTCCTCCTCCCAGCCTCAGCGTACTGGTTACGCCCTCTCCTCCTCTCACGACACTTCCCAACGCCGTTCCTCTTTCCGCGGTCGCCCCGTCGTTCCACGCAGCAGTGTCGCCACTTCTCGCGCCGCTTTAGCTCGCTCGAGTATGGAAAGCATGACGTTATTGCCCCGTTGTCGCCTTAGGGTGACCACAGCGTCGACCTCGACCTCTGCGAGGACGTCCACTAGCACCTGGAGGACTCTACTCTCCCTATGGCCGAGCGCCTCCAGCTCGCCCTCTCCACCCTCTCCCGGGCACGCAGCCGCTCTGGTCACGCTGGCACGTCGCCTCCCGAGGTCCCTCAGCAGGACCTCCCTCAGGGCTTTCTCACTCCTCGCGGTGTCCTTTCCGCCAAGGAGCGCACAATCATTTTGGGCAGGCGTGGGTGTTTGCGCTACCGCCAGGACGGTCATACCTCCTCGCGGTGGCCTTAGACCGCCACCCTCGACCTCCACTACGCTGAGCTCTCTCGCCAGCGTCGTGCTCAGTCCCCCCTCGGCGCCTCACATCCCCGAGGTGCCTCCTAGCCACAATGCAGTGTACACCTGTGCCCTCCTCAGTAGTCGGCTTCCCAACATCTCTGTCGCAGTTCGCCCCTCTCGCTACTGAAGTTGAGGTATCATAGGACCCGAACGAGTGTGCTCAGCCTGAATCAAACACATTCATCGAACAGAGGCTCGGTGGGTCTGAATGTGTTTGTGGGACGACACTGGAGTCAGTAGCTTGGGCCATCTCTCGAGATGGTGAGGGTGTCTCCACCACCTCGACCCTAGCAGGAACAACTACTATTCCTTCTGGCCCGACGTGTTTCCCAGAGCAGTGCCTGAAGTGCTGGCTATATTGCTACCAACGGGATGTGAGGATCCTACCGCCTGCCCCATCGTAGGCGGGATCTTGTCGGCCACCTTCTTGTTACGACACTTAAACTGATTATGGTCGTATTGACCACAACGAATGCAAGCCTGTCGTGTGTACCAATCTCTCCACACGTCTTCTGAGAGACCCGCCTTCTCCCATGGGGGAGCGTCGGGGTCAACTTGACTCCTTCACCGGGAGCCTCCGCGGCGTCTACCGGTCGCCTTTCCTTTCTGAGTTACAGCAGCGACTACTCCACCCCCTGAAGCTTTTACGCTGCTCGCCTTTGAACCTACTCCCTCCTGGAAGTTGTCGTCTAGCTCGATAGTGGAACCATCGTTATCGACAAACATTATGCGGCCCTTCGCCTTCCAGTTGGGAGGCAGTGTCTTCTTCCTACCATCCGTAGTGGGTGCCTGTCCATGCCCTATCTTCGCCTCAAGGTCTAGGGCCTTCTTGCTAAGCGAAGGAAAGTTGTGCATATTGATGTTGGCCTCACCTGCGAACTAGTTCCTGAGAGGCAAAGAGAAGCATCTCAGGTAGGAGGTGAGTAGAACGTGGGGGTCATAGTGCACCCCTGGGACACAGATCAGACGCTCAACAACGTCGGTGGCTTCCCTTACTTACTTGAATTGCCACGTGTGCAGTGTCAGGATCGCGTCAGTGGCCCTTTGGGCCTCCTGAGGATCATGCCACCTTTCCTCCACCAGCTTAAGGAAGTCATCCAATTTCTGGGTGACTGCCCAAGCGAGGAAGTCATGACCATACCCCTGGAGTTGCACTAAACCACTCAACCATCTTGCTGCACTACCCTCTAGGTAGGAGGCAGCCACAAGCACTTCTTCGTGCGGCAAGGTAAGTTTACACCTAACATAGACTGGCACTGCCTTCAACCATGTGTCGAGGTCTTCGCCTCTCTTATCCCCTGTGCAGGGTTTAGGAGCAGCGATGGCCGTCTTTGGTACCCACTGTGTTTGTCCCGGTCCCTGCATCCCACTGGGTTGTGGACCCTATGATACAGGCGGCTGCACTGGCTGCAAGGGTTGTGTACCCTGCGGCTTTGCAGGCTGCGAGACAGCAGGCTGCGTGGTGACCGCAACCTGCAACGGAGATAGGGTGAACACTGTCTGTACCGGAACCTGCAAACTAGATCCTGCTGTGATCCCTCCTGATAGCGGCATGCCCAGGTAAACGATCGCAACCGATGATGGGGCTACATATGGGGATACCCCAGTCACCGATGGGACAAAAGGAGGATGTGCAACGGGCCAGGCACCAGGCCCGTACATTGGCGACCTAGCCTGCGCTTGCCCAACCAACAGGGCCAAACTTTGCTGGATGTCCTGCAGGATGGTTGTCTGATGGTCCTGCATCTCAACTACATTCAGCAGGACGGACCGTACGATCCTCACCTCATCAGTCACGTGCGTCAGTTCCATCTCCTCTAACTCACTAACGTCCGCTTGTCTCCGTTGCATCCTGGCTCTTCTTCTAATTATTCTTTCTTTCTCCGCTTTTATATCTCCTAACGCCTTCTGTAGTTGTGCTGCTTGTTGTATGGCGATCTCGTCGGATGTCAACACTAGTGGCTGGCTTGCCATTACGCCAGCGGACTGACTCTGGGTCTGCGCGGCCGTTGACCCGACAGACCCTGAACTACCGGCCTGAGTAGTCTGCTGCGCAGAAGTGGCCATGGCTTCTGAAGCTGCGGCCTCACTCACAAGTGCCCTGCTAGCCTCTGCTGCTCTAGCCCTCCTCTGCTGCTGCTGCCTCTCCCTAAGCTGGCAGAATAGATATTTGTCGCCCTTTGGTCCTAATGCCAAGTGGGCAATTGGGCGTCTAGTCGATCGCAATATCCTCCGGTCGTCCTCTTCAGTGTCCTCCTCGTCGCTCATAAGCTACAGTCCTGTACACAATCTGCACTAGTGCACTCTAGATGCGTACCGCAGCGTAGTGCACAGGCCAATTAACTGGTGGCTATTTCGGAGACCTTACATTCGGGCCCAACAGGTAAGTCAGATTCCTACAAATAAAACTATTTTTAGTTTGACTAGTCCGCAAACAGAAGCACCATGAACAAGAAACAGTTCTAACTAATGTTGTCTGTCAGATGTCAATGGTTGTACACCTAACTAATCAAAACAAAAAATAGAATCATTTGTGTGGATTGGACAGCATGGAATTTTCTCGAACTTATCACTTGAAATCCACCCCTCCCTTAGTTTCCCTGAGTATCACTTGACGTCAGCGTCCCTGAGCAATCTGGAGAGCGTCTCGTGTCTAAAGAAAGGTGTGTGTTCGGCCCACCCCTGTGCCCCGAGTATCTGCTGAGCTGGCCAGCCCTGCACTGGATTATCCTCGCGTGCAGCAAGCCTTACAACCATTGGCTGATCCAGAGCCAATTCAACGTCCGCCCCCAAGTGACTCCAGGAATTATTTTACGTCGCAGTCGGACGACGATCACAGCCAATGGTTCCCCATCGGTGCTTATTTAAAGATGCCCGGTCTCGTCTCCCTTAAGGGCTGGCCTGCCCTTCAGTACCCATCTAACAACAACAAGCCAAACAAAGGACACGCAGCAACACATGCGTGTTCAACTTCCGGTGGGTTGGCATGGTGACCATGACCGAGTGCTTCGTCCAGGGCCCTTCAGAAAGCTCCGTCCATCTTCTCCCAGATGCTCCACGTGAACATTGCCGACTCTCAAGGTTGAGCGCACTCGACACCTCACAATGAGAGGACTCTCAAGAAGGAACACACAACCTCACGGTAAGAAGTGTCGAAGAGGGTAGATAAGGTTAAGAGCAACGTACCTTAAATACCTGCCCCCAACCGCAGAGATAATCTCACCAGATGACCAAATGCCGATTGTGATGACCAGACATTGCTTCGGCACAACCAGCATTGCACGTCGTTCCACCTCAACACCAATCGCACATTAGATAGTTCTCATCACACTGCCCAGACCACATTACACATTTCGTAGCCTTCCTGGCGATCCCCTCACCTCCTGGGTCGCCTCTCACTCATCTCCATCCTCCTCACGACACACCACTTACGATCCCACTCACCAAGCAGACCGCATGTATGTACCACATTAGGCAGAAGACAAGCGCCAAATGAGCGCAATCGTACCACAACTCCGATACCAAATTGCAAGGAAGATGAGCAATAGCGAACTTCAGCAATCAAACAGCATCATACATATGAGTCCAGATAGTCGTGACCTCGAACCAACAACAAAATTGCATCACGAGATTCACCAAATAAGAACACACCAGGAGTTTATAATTGACAATGCTGAAATAGTCCCATCATCATCAACGAAGGACCAGAGTTGATATCCTATTTGGCGCTCGGCGCCCAGACTACATGTGGCAGATCCTATCTAGCCTATACTACAATGCCGAAAGATGACGTCAATAGCTTTCCCGAAGTACGAGCATACAACGACCTATGTCGCACGCTTCCAGCACCAGGTATATCTCTCACCTCACTCACAACCTCGTTCCCCAACACATAGATGCCACTAGCACCCAAGGACCACCCTGCGCCACACCCAACTCACAGCAGCGCAACTCGGCTATGTCTGCCTGCTCCTTCCCTGCTCGCCCGTGAGCGCTTAGGCGCCAACCAACAATTAGCGCAGCATGCAGCCAGCACCCGAATGGCGAATCTGGAGGCAGGCCCTTCGCTATGTCGAAGTGGCCTGCCTGAGTCCAGTCACAGGAAGCTTCCAGTAGGCCCCGGTAGCCTGAGGCCTAGCACGAACGAGAACAGGCCTTGGGCCTGAGTTGGTTGCATGCGCCCAACTGCCTTTGGCCTGTGTTCGGCCCAATACCCGTATCCAGCCCAGGGCCTACTTTCCATACATTCACACAGGCGGCCCAGGGCTTGGGTTCTCTCAACCAACTGGCGCTGCACAACTGCCTGAATTTCCTTGAGTTGCGTGGTGACCAAAACAGGGCCCTGAGGGCCTCGTCGAGCCTGCCTTCACTTAGGCGGCCGACTTGCTTCGGGATGGGCCATAAAGGGGCTCATAGAGGCATTGGCCTCGCATAATTAAAAAGGGCAAAAAAAAAAGAAAATGCAAAAAGGAGTTAACCGTTTTTTTTGTGGGTCATGGGTCTGAGATCAGATCTCATGGAGGAGAGCATATGGCCGTTTTTTTGTGGGGCCAGCTCAAACGGCCAACTCCGGAATGAGTTGGCAGCCAAAATGGAAAGAAACCACAGAAGGAAAATGACGAAACTGTGCATTTGGCCCAAAAAGAGGGCCAGATACACCAAAAACTGAAAAAGTGAGCCTAGGGGATGAAAATGAAGCAAGGACCACTTGGGGGTAGCTCGGAATATTGCTGGTCTTGGATCTCAGCCTGATCCAAGGCTGACATTGCACCAGAGCATGGAGAAATATCTCGGCCTACCCAAAATGGGGTAGAAACAATAGAAATCGAGAAAAAAACTTGCAAGGCCTTCTCCTTTCAAGTGAGGTCGCCCCTTGGGTATTTAGACTCAAGGGGGCAGCATTTGAAAAAGGAAAACAGGTTGAAGGGGCCCAAGGGGCAGTCCGAGTTGGTATCAAACACTCAGACTGCATGTACTTGGCCAAAAAAGAGGCCCAGGTACCCCCCGAGAGGCCTAGTGGTGAATATTGGCCATGGGGGTACCTCGGTTCATTTGGAGGCACATGAGGAGGCCAATGGGCTGGCCGGTGCGCCAATTTCAGCCTACGTAAGTTGAGGAAGCAGTCCCCTACACTCACATTTGCATGAGGAGTTCCCATGCTGCCCAAGTGAGCTCATGAGAGCACTCTGCTCACTTGGAGTGAGAGGAGGGGAACCGCTGCCAATGAGGAGGCTTGTAGGAGGTTGTAGGCTAGTGGAGGTAGCCATTGGAGCTAATGGTAGTGGTGTTGGCCCAAGGAGGTGGTCCGCCATAGCCCTCAGGCTGTGGGAAAGAGGTAGAGGCTTGGAGGAACCCTTTTTGCCTTCTTGGAGGAGGGGACTCCATAGCCTTCGTAATGGGAGCTTGAAATAGCCAGGGAAAGGTTGAAGGAGGAGCATGGTGAGAGCTTGAAGGAGAAGGGATCCATCGCAAAGCAACAAGGAGTTTCATCAAGAGTGACGCCTCAAGACTCCAAGACATTAGAGGAGGTAGGTAGGGAAAGAAGAAAATTCTTCTTCTTCTTCTTCTTCCTTCTTCTTCTTCTATTCTTCTTCTTCTTCTTCTTCTTCTCCTCCTCCTTTTTCTTCTTTTTCCTTCTTCTTCTTCTTCATCTTCTTCTCCCCCCCCCCCCTCCTCTTCATCTTCTCCTTCTTCCTCTTCCTCTCCTACACCTCCCTCCTCCTTCATCTCCTCTCTTCTTCCCTCTATCTCTCTCCCTCTCCCCCCCCAATCCCTTCTCCTCATCTCCTCTCTCCATAGCTACCTTCAAAGCATAGGAGAGGTAGTAGATAGCTTTTCAACTAATGATGGCCTCTCACTTCGTCTTTCTCCATCCCATTGCAAATAGCTGCTTCCCACTTGATGTTTTCAGACATAAGAGTGAGTTCTTCTCACTTGGCTGAGAATCGCCACTTCCCCCGCTGCTTGTGCTAAGTGTTGATGTCATCTTTCTTCATGTTTTGCCCATTCATGCACTTGGAGATAGTCTGATTCACCTTTGGCTGTTCAACTAGTCATATGCTTGCGTCACACTCATGTTTTGTTCACTCTTCCACTTGCTGATAGTCCGATTCATCCTTGGCTGTTCAACTAGTTACATGCTTATGTCACACTCATGCTTTGTCCGGTTCCAGCATTTGGTGATAGTCCGATTCATCTTTGGTTGTTCAACTAGTCATATGCTTGTGTCACACTTATGTTTTGTCCACTCTTACATTTGGTGATAGTCTGATTCATCCTTGGTTGTTCAAGTAGTCAGATGCTTGTGCCACCTTCATGCTGTGTCCAATCTTGCACTTGGTGATAGTCTGATTCATCCTTGGTTGTACAACTAGCCATATGCTTGTGTCACACTTATGCTTTGTCCATTCTTGCACTTGGTGAAAATCCGATTCATCCTTCGTTGTTCAACTAGTCATATGCTTGTGTCACAGTCATGCTTTGTCCATTCTTGCACTTGGTGATAGTCCGATTCACCCTTGGTTGTTCAACTAGTCGTATGCTTGTGTCACACTCATGCTTTGTCCATTCGTGCACTTGGAGATAGTCTGATTCCTCTTTGGCTGTTCAAACCTACGTAGCACCGTGTTATCGTTCGGAGGCGAACGCGAACAAGCGCCCAAAACCCTCCGAACGCGAACATTAAAAARAAAAAAAAAAAAAAAAAAAAAGTTCTCAAAAAAATCTGAAAAAATATATGTTATGTAAAATATCAATACAAGCAACTTTTGCCTTGGAGTCATGTTTAAATTCGTAGCCAATCATGAATTAAAAATCCAAAACCGAAAAAAATATATATTTGACGATATATATATATATCGTCAAATAGATATATATATATATATCGTCAAATAGATATATATAGATATATATTTGACGATATATATATATTTTTACAAAAAAAAATTATGTTCGCCCGAACATGTTCGCGAGCTGTTCGTGCGAACGCGTGAACACGTTCGCACAAACATGAAGGGACGCGAACACCGTCGCCGTGCTACGCAGGTTCAAACTAGTCATATGCTTGTGTCGCACTCATGCTTTGTCCATTCATGCACTTGGAAATAGTCCGATTCACCCTTGGCTGTTCAACTAGTCATATGCTTGTGTCAAACTCATGCTTTGTCTATTCATGCACTTGGAGATAGTCCGGTTCATCTTTGGCCGTTCAACTAGTCATATGCTTGTGTCACACTCATGTTTTGTTCACTCTTGCACTTGGTGATAGTCTGATTCATCCTTGGTTGTTCAACTAGTTACATGCTTATGTCACACTCACGTTTTGTCCAGTCCAGCATATGGTGATAGTCCGATTCATCTTTGGCTCTTCAACTAGTTACATGCTTATGTCACACTCATGCTTTGTCCGTTTCAAGCATTTGGTGATAGTCCGATTCATCTTTGGCTGTTCAACTAATCATATGCTTGTGTAACACTCATGTTTTGTTCACTCTTGCATTTGGGAATAGTCCGATTCATCCTTGGCTGTTCAGCTAGTCATATGCTTGTGTCACACTCATGTTTCGTCCAGTCTTGCATTTGGAGATGGTCCGATTAATCTTTGACTGTTCAACTAGTTACATACTTGTGTCAAACTCATGCCTTGTCCATTCTTGCATTAAGTGATAATCCGATTCATCCTTGGTTGTTCAACTAGTCATATGCTTGTGTCACACTCATGCTTTGTCCATTCTTGCACTTGGTGATAGTCCGGTTCATCCCTGGCTGTCCAACTAGTTACATGTTCGAGTCACACTGGTGTTGTTCAGTCTTTCTCTCAGTTGATGACGTGTCGGTTCAGATCTTCTTTCCTCCATAGCTCTATGTCCATGTGTAGGGTAGTCACAATTGTGTTGTTCAATCTTTCTCTCACTTGATGATGTGCCGGTTCAGATCTTGTTGCTTCCACAACTTTATGTGCATGTGTAGGATAGTCACACTTGTGTTGTTCAGTCTTTCTCTCACTTGGTGATGCGCCAGTTTAGATCTTGTTGCCTCCATAGCTCTATGTGCATGCGTAGGCTAGTTACACTTGTGCTGTTCAGTCTTTCTTTCACTTGATGATGTACAGGTTCAGATCTTGTTGCCTCCATAGCTCTACGTGCATGAGTAGGCTAGTTACACTTGTGCTGTTCAGTCTCCCTCTCACTTGATGATGTACCTGTTCAGATCTTGTTGCCTCCATATCTCGGTGTGCATGTGTAGGGTAGTCACACTTGTGCTGTCCAGTCTTTCTCTCACTTGATGATGTGCCGGTTCAGATCTTGTTGCTTCCATAGCTCTATGTGCATATGTAGGGTAGTCACACTTGTGTTGTTCAGTCTTTTTCTCACTTGGTGATGTGCCGATTCAGATTTGTTGCTTCCATAGCTCTATGTGCATGTGTAGGATAGTCACACTTGTGTTGTTCAGTCTTTCTCTCACTTGGTGATGTTATAGTTCAGATTTGTTGCTTTCATAGCTCTATGTGCATGTGTAGGATAATCACACTTGTGTTGTTCAGTCTTTCTCTCACTTGGTGATGTGCCGGTTCAGATCTATTGCTTCCGTGGCTCTCTGTGCATGTGTAGGATAGTCATTTATGTTGTTCAATTTTTTTCTCACTTGGTGATGTGCCGGTTCAGATCTTGTTGCCTCCATAGCTCTATGTGCTTATATAGGGTAGTTACTCGTGTGCTGTTTAATCTTTCTCTCATTTGATGATGTACCGGTTCAGATCTTTTGCGTCCATAGCTCTATGTGCATGTGTAGGCTAGTCACACTTGTGTTGTTTAGTCTTTCTCTCACTTGGTGATGTGCCGGTTCAGATTTGTTGCTTCCATGGCTCTATGTGCATGTGTAGGTTAGTCATACTGCTGCTCAGTCTTTCTCTCACTTGGTGA